TGAGTTTTTTTGAGAAAGTAAAAATGCAGAAAGTCTCCTGTGAGGGGTAGGTTTAGGGGTAGGGTTGGTGTAGGGCAATAGAATATACGGTCTGTACAGTATACAAACCATTACGCCTATGGAGAGTCCCCACTTTTCACAAAAACAAACCTGTGTGTGTCAGGGCTTGGGGGAGATGCCTCAGGACGCTCCGTCGGCGCGGGGCAGGCGCTCTCTCTCAGGCAGTGGGGTGATGCGCACCTCGTCCCTCACGCGTGATCCTCTGAGCGGCAGCAGGTATGACACGCCAGCCACACGTCTGTTCATGTGATGCTTCCCGTTCGCTCATCAGCCGTGTGTTCGGCAGGGACTGCGGTCAGGCGGGGAGTAAAGCGGCCGTCCACAGCCTCACAGACCGGAGCGAGTACGTCAAACAGATGAAGACACTGCTCAACTCCAAGGACTTCAGGGAGAGAATCAAGGCCATCGATCAGCTGGTGTGCGACTGCGAGGAGAACCCGGCTCTGGTCATCGGCAGCCTGTTCCCGGTAATCCTGATCATCCTGATGATGGTGGTGATGTTGATGCTGATGATTATGTTGATGATGATGCTGCTGCTGATGATGATGGTGGTGATGGTGATTATGATGATGCTGATGGTGGTGATGAGGATGATGATGATGATGGTGGTGATGAGGATGATGATGATGATGATGGTGGTGATGGTGATGGTGATTATGATGATGCTGATGGTGGGGATGATGATGCTGATGGTGGGGATGATGATGATGCTGATGGTGGGGATGATGCTGCTGATGATGATGATGGTGGTGATGATGGTGGTGATGGTGATTATGATGATGCTGATGGTGGTGATGATGATGATGATGATGCTGATGGTGGTGATGATACTGATGCTGATGATGATGTTGATGAGGATGCGGATGATGATGATGATGGTGATGATGTTAATGATGGTGGTGGTGATGCTGATGAGGATGCTGATGATGATGGTGGTGATGGTGATGATGATGATGTTGTTGATGATGGTGATGATGCTGACTCTGATGGTCTGCTGCAGGTGTTTGATGCTCTGAAGGCTCGTCTGCAGGAGTCCAACAGTAAGGTGAGCCTGCGGGCTCTGGAGGCTCTTCAGCCCATCATCGCTCTGCTCAGAGACAGTCTGGCTCCAGTGCTCAACATCCTGATCCCCGCCGTCGTGGACAATCACCTCAACTCCAAGAACAGCAGCATCTCCACGGCGGCGCTGGGAGCCGTTCAGGCTCTGATGCACAACATCGGTGCGTTGAGTTGGCTTTGACTGATTTGAGCTGATCTTCAGTGCGTTTGACTCTGACTCTGTGTTTCAGACAACAGCCTCCTGCTGCAGCCCTTCTGCTCCAAAGCCCAGTATCTGAGCGGGAAAGCCAAGCTGGACCTCATCGAGAGAGTCGCAGGTCAGTCCAGCTCTTTATTCACCCTTCCACAAAATAAGCCTTAAAAACTCTTCAATCAGAGCAGAAAGTCTGAAATCCATAAAGTCGTGGCATTAAATGTTGCATCACTGCAAAAAATGTGATCTCTTTTTCAGTATTTCTGTCTGGTTTTCCAGTACACATATCTAAACCTTCTTAAATCAACACATTCACTGGAGATGTAACGAGGATATGAAGTCTCGTTTTCTGAGAAATGAAGCCGGTTTAAGCTTAAAACAAGAACAAATATCTGCAAACAAAAAAATAAACATTTGAATAAGTGGATTTTGCTGACTCCGCTGTAGAGCGCCACAATTAATCGAAATAAAAAAACAATCACAGTTTGGCTTCGTGTGATTATTATTAAGAAGTCACAAAGGCTTTTGAATTAAATGAATATATGCACAGCTTCTGACAAGTAATTACTTTCAGATTCTTATCATCATAAAATACTAGTTTATAATAAAACCTTAGACCTTTTTAATGATTTATAGTCATAGGCCTCCTGTAGTATCATTATTATAAAAATATAAAAATATACTTATATATATATTCTTAAATACTTTATTTTTTATCTTATAATTGTTTTTCACAAATTGTGCAGCCCTACAAACAATCACAACAATCCTGGTGTTATTCATAATCTTGATTTTTATCACAATTTTAACCTGAAAAAATTAAAAATTTAGATTTAGAAAATTGTATTTATTTTTTCTTCCCCCCCAATCATGCAGCCCTACCCCATTGGCAGATAATAGTTTTATATTTTAATCCTAAACTGACTTCATTTTGATCAGTTTCTCTGCAAACAAGACTTGATGCGTTCTGTCGTTACACTTCATCAAGCGTGTGTGGAGCTGGAAGCGTGATGTGTGTGTTGTTTCTCAGAGCTGGTGACGGAGCTGTACCCGCGCAGACCGCAGCTGGTGGAGCAGAAGGTTCTCCCGCTCTTCTGGACGCTCCTCGGCTCCTCTTCTAACAGCGGGAACGTCCGGATGTCCACAGCGAAGCTTGCCGAGGCGCTGCACGCACACATGGGCCAGACGCTGCTGGAGAGCGCCGCTTCACAGCCTGCAAGCGTGCAGAGCGAGCTGAACCAGCTCCTGAGAGCCCTGCCGTGCCCGACTGATGATCTCACTCACGGCTGAAGAAACACTCGCTTTCTGACGCTTTGCACTTTCATGAGTCGCGTGCTGCAGCACTACACAATGTGCTCTTCAAATGCACAATCACTCCGATGTTGTTCTGTAACGTGTGCTCTGAACAGGATTTACACCAGACTTTTCTACTGTATAATAGCGCAGTATTAGCTGTACGGTGTACGTGTTTTGCGAATATTGACTTCATTATGGCCTGTTTTAAGTGCGACCCGTCCTGGTTTTTTTGCATGACCAAATTAATTGGGTTTTTAAAAAACGAGGAAATGAGCATTTTGAGCGAGAAGGATGCCTGTATCCACTCTGGACGTGAAAGCGTTGTGTTTCGGTGAATGTGACGCTTTGAGCGAGAGTAAAACAGGTGAACTCGTGTCCAGATGCAGTTCTCAGTTTAGTGCCAGTCACTCCAGAACAGCCTTGATGAGATTTCACATTAAATTATATCCCAGAGACAGAGATTTATCTATATAATATTGGTTTTTTTGCATGACCAAATTAATTGGGTTTTTAAAAAACGAGGAAATGAGCATTTTGAGCGAGAAGGATGCCTGTATCCACTCTGGACGTGAAAGCGTTGTGTTTCGGTGAATGTGACGCTTTGAACGAGAGTAAAACAGTGCCAGTCACTCCAGAACAGCCTTGATGAGATTTCACATTAAATTATATCCCAGAGACAGAGATTTATCTATATAATAAAGTGTCTTATTTCTGTAAACACGTGTGCTGTGATCGTTCCGCACTGATACTTGATATTACTTCAGTCTTCATAGTTTATATGTTGCATTTAATGGTGCTGGTTCTGCCGGTGTTTTCACATTATTCTTCCACACATGAACATATATGAGCTTAATGTTTAAAAATAAATGATAACTGCTAACTTCACATTTCTGTGACAAATTACCTATTGGAGAACGTATCCACAAATGTGCTGTTCTTTATTTTTAATGTACACTTTAAAAATCTAACGTATGAAATCCAGGGCTTTTTCAGACTTCTTGATGCCTCGGACCCCGAAATAAGACGGTCCCCTTGTGAGGCCCCAGATATATATATATATATTATCAGACCTTTTTTATAAAGTGAAAAACGAAAAATATTATAAATGTCAAATATTAACTGAAAATAATATTCAGGTTGACTCTGCACAGTGACAATAAATATATTATTTTATATTATATAATATTAAAAATAAATTCTTATATTACTGTGAGTGCCTAGAAAAGCGCTATATAAATGTAATGAATTACTGTAATGCTCTTAATACCAAAAAAAAAAAAATGTGTAAAATATTACCTGGAGGATATTCCGTTTCTATTACATTGGCTTTGTACAATTAGTCGAAATAAAGCAGATTTTTACAGAAGTAGAGTTAAAATATAACATTAAAAATGAATAAATAAATATTTATTGTTGTTGTTACGTGTCGTTCTTATTAACAAAACAATATTATAAACGTGTAAAATATTATTTGGAGAATATTTCGTTTCTGTAACATTGATTCTATATTGTTTCTAACCCCCATCAGAGTAAAGATGCATAAACCTAAACACAAAATCTTGACTGTAGAATAAAATAATATCAAGCAGTAATAATATCAAGTCTTGTAGATTTTAACTTTGTATTATTTAATATTTTATATATTTTTACAGTATTTTTTTCTGACAAAACCAGTTATAATAAACACCTCCGACGTTGTATCTTCAATCAGGATTTAAAAGATTCGTATAAACGGCGAATATGTTGACAATAACGCTGTTTTATCGATCGACCTCAAAAGCGAACATGCGCACGCTCTCTGACGCTTTTATAATTAAAGCTAATATGTCATTATAGTAGACAAAGTACAATTAAAGCCATAAAAAAATTGAATGTAGTTTAACTCGATGTTCTTAACTAAAACTGAAATAAAAATTAAAAAATGCACAACAAAATAACTAAAATTAAAACTAAACATTAATACAAAAAATTTAAAAACAATAATAGTAAATCTGTGATACTTTGTGAAACCACAGGTTTATAAATAAATAACTAGTGTGTGTAAATATCAGATACGCTAGATCCGGTCAGAACATCTCAGATGTGTCTGGAAACAGAACAACTAGCCTGATCCCCAAAACCTGTTCACAGCAAGTCCTGTCTGGTTGCTGAAGCTGTATTAACAGTCCAGAGCGGCCCGAGTCGAGCCAGAGAAGAGCAGAAGCAGGAGCAAAAGCAGCGGAGTTTATATTAGTTGTGTATGTTTCAATGCTCAGACTTCATCTGACCAACACGAATCCAACAAGTAACGTTACACCAAACTGCTCCACAACGACTTCCCATAAACCCGGAGTTTCTGTATATGGTTAAAATGAAGATTTAAAACAAAGCCTACGACATGATGTGGAAGGACGGGTTGTTAATCAAACTAAGTAAGATAGGGGTTGAAGGAAGAATGTTTAACTGGATCAAAGATAGTTGATAGTGGCACACCACAAGGCAGTGTGATAAGACCAATACTTTTCATTGTTATGATCAGTGACGTATTTGGAACCGTTCCAGAAGATATAGGAAGGTCTTTGTTCGCAGACGATGGGACGCTGTGGAAGAAAGGAAGGAATATGTCACTAGGAGAAAACAGGGAGAAAGTGATGTATATAGTGGTGGAGCGGGGCTATAACTGGGGCTTTAGGGTTTCTATAGAGACTCAGTCAGTCTTCTTCACCGGAGACAGAATTCAATCGTATGGGAGAGATTTAGAGAAAGTATTATTGGGCAGGTTTACAAGGGCATGATTCACGTCCTACTAAGGCAATGTTGCAGGAGAGCTGATTGGTAATGACACCGCTAAAGTTTTTAATTCGAGGATAAGTTGCACAGTAGTTTATCCAGAGACGGCTCCCTGGAAGGTAGATTGGTTTGTGTTCGAGGGAAAAAGGAGGGCAAAGGAAGGTATAAATCTAAAACTGGTCTTCAACAATCGGATAGCGGAAAAGTATAATGATTACATTCAGGTTTATACAGATGTGCCAAGGAACCCGAGACGGAAGTAACAGGATTGAGTGTGGCGGTTAGGTTAGGTTAGGTCAGTCATCACGGCTGGTTTGTTCTGTACAGTGCAGTGAGGAGGCTGCGGTCAGCAGTAGTTTATTCAGATCAGAACAGAAGCTCACAGTGGCTGTAGTGTTTATGCGGAGGACAGACAAGCGTTTACATTCACAGCCGTCGAACCCTGATCACAGATCAGCTCATTCACTTCATTCAGAAAACTCTCATTGAGTTTGACATCTCAGCTTCCAGCTGTAAGTTTACAAAAATACTTAACAAAATAGCACTATGACAATATATATATCTGCATCTATTGTATGGATTTGTTGATTATCATGAGCGTTGATTCTAGAGCGAGAGACAGACAGACGGGAGGTACGTGATGATTGTCTTACAGCAACAGTGCTTCACCGAGCGACTGACGTCCAGTTTGTGTAGCTTATAATCAGTGTGACACAGAAGCGTGTTCAGCAGCTGTCTGAGAGGTGCAGAGGATTGTGGGTAGAGGAGGCTCAGGGCCGCTCCAGGATCCAGATCTCGTTCTGCCGGTGGGCCGCCGCGGGGTTGGTGTATCCGGCCACGATGAAGGAGTCGCTGACGGCCGGACGCTCCAGAGCCTCGGCCAGACCGCTGATCTCGTGGATGATGGTCAGCTCGTTAGTGGCGCCCGTGAACGGCCTGAGTCACATGACACGGTTACAGCTTCAGATCATTTCACTAACTCCATTTTCATTCATTCACACAACTGTCGTTTATTTAAGAACCTCACGGTCTGATTTGTAGATCTGGGCTGCGATTCCCAGAAGCAGTGCTTTCAGCGATCTTTAGCTTACAATGCTTTTGGGAAGCACAGACCTGGATGTTTTTATAGTGAATATACACTCAAATTGCCATTGGTGAGTGAAAACTTCATTAAAAATGCCATAATCACAAACTCATAAATTCATTATTGAACACTGAACAACATTCAGTTATAATATGTGTCCCTGCAGCACAAAAGCAGTGTTGAGTCGCTGGGGGATATTTGTAGCAATAGCCAACAATACATTGTATGGGTCAAAATTATACATTTCTCTTTTATGCCAAAAATCATTAGGATATTAAGTAAAGATCATGTTCCATGAAGATATTTTGTAAATCTCCTACCGTAAATATATCAAAACTTAATGTTTGATTAGTGATATGCATTGCTAAGAACTTCATTTGAACAACTTTAAAGATGATTTTCTCAATATTTAGATTTTTTTGCACCCTCACTGCTCCAGGGTCACATATAATTATTTTATTTAATTATTATTATAATATATCACTCAAAGTTTTTGTTAATTGAACAAACTGTAATTTGTAGCTGGATGAAGGCAGTGACGTCTGACTGATTTATGCATTTAGCAGACATTATAATTCCCATGAAACAGAATAATTTTTATAATGAATATACATTCAAATAAAATATTCTGAGTAGACATTGCTGAGAAATTGACATTGGTGAGTGAAAAATGTATTTTTAAAAAACTATATTGCATAATCATAATCAATTATAAATTCATTTTTCAGTTTTTGAATCTTCAGTTAATTTTAATAGAATTATATGAATTTAAATGTAATTATTATTATAATATGTAATAAAGAAACCGTGAAGAAATGTTACTTGAGCTGTAAATGGTCTGAATTGTCATGTTGAGGTGTAGAAGGCGAGTTTTTCTTCTTATCAAGCCACATTTATTTCTATAGTGCTTCAGCTTCACAGTGACGAACAGCTCATGTAAATGATCTCTCTGTGGTTTGGTGTTGATGGGTTTTGCAGATAGATGTTGATTGGCTGGCAGACGCTTTTACTGAAGCAGCTTTCACATTAAGCTTTGATCAGTTCTTGCTTTCCCTTCGAGTCGAACCCATGACCTCCAGCGTGAGTGCATTACTGTGAACATGCATGAAGTGAGTCGCAGTGGAGATGGTTTCTGTGCTTGTCTCACCGGGTGTAGATGATAGCGGCGGGCCAGTGCTCGATGGTGATCTCTGGGTCGTGCGGCCGCGGCGGCTCGCTCTGGTGCCGGGGGGGCAGGTAATACGCTACGGTCACGGCCCGCGACAGAGTCCTGTGCATCTCATCGGTGTGCACCACCGTCACGATGGGGATCGTCATGCCCAGATAACTGCCTGCAGAAGAAACCAGCCGTTTGAGATCAATAAAGCGGTCAAACACATCTGTCAGCCGTATATGTGACCCTGGAGCACAAAAGCAGTCTTAAGTCGCTGGAGTATATTTGTAAGGTATTATTCGCCTTCATATTTCATGCATCTTTTCTGCAAAGATATTTAGCAAGTGGATTTGTTCTTGAACTTCTTTTGTGCAGAACCTTCTTTAAGCAGATGTAAACTCTTAAATGTGATGTTTAATGTTTTGTCACAAGCGTCTGGAGGAGGATTGAGTGTGTGTTCACGGACCTGCTGAGTTCTGCTGGCAGATGTATCTCATGATCTTCATGAAGCCGTAGCAGATGCTCTGTTCATACGTGTCCTCGTGAACGGTGATACAGGCCCAGTGCGCTTTCTCATAGTGACGCTTCTCCAACACCACCTCGCCGCACTGCAAGACACACAAACACAGAGTCAGAAGCACATCCATCATCTCTCTCTCTCACCTCACGCCAGAATGAAACGCACGAATAAACCAGGATTTGGTTTTATGGAATAGTTGTCTTTTTTTTAATTATTGGGAAAATACTTGTATTGAATCAATTCAGTGAAATGTTGAGCCGTGCTGATTTGATTGTGAAGAGTAAACGCTCTTCTAGAACACATTTGAATGCTTTTAGCAGCATATTTGAGCCATTTTTCAGTGGCATTTTTGCCTCCAGCTCTGGTTCGTTTCTGCCCCTGATGGAAAGTGTCAATCAATGGAAGTGGGAGGAGTCTAATGATCCTCAGGTCAGATTCAATGGCACATTCAAGCAGCTGAATTTGATCACGCGTGTCACTGGTATTGATGACACTGACTGGGATTGATCAGTGATTCTGTAGACTTGATTGATGCTGGTCAGTGATTTCCTGCACCGCTCTGCTAGTGTGTTTTCATGTGTTTGACCCTCGTCTGTACGTACCTTCTCCTTGCGTGTGATTAGTGTGTAGGGAACCTGCTCCCGCACGTGTGTGCCCTCATTATTGGTGGTGATCTGATGGATGGGTTCGGCCATGTCTGTGAAACACAGCAGACTGACGTCAGTGTTCAGCTCATCTCTCTGAAGGCTTGAGAAACGCATACAGACTAGTTACAGCAGGAAACACTATAAAACTGGACGTTTCTGCCTGCTGTGACCCATGATTCTCTGATCGGATCACGAGAGGCACTCTGCTAACACTTCAGTGCACTTCATCCAATGAGTCACTTTACCCAGAACCGTAGATGGAAAAATGAACAGATGAGATGTGCATCAGTGTGTGTGTGTGTGTGTGTGTGTGTGTGTGTGTGTGTGTGTTAAACAGACCGTGTGAGCTACTGTAAATACAGTGGCAGGTTTTTTCCTCAAGGAGAACATGTGCTCTTAATGAACATGTGCTCTCAATAAAATGTATTTTTCCTTAGTAAAAGGATACAATGAGGCATTTACAAGCAAAATGTATTTATTTGAATACTAAAAGTACACTAGGATTTTAAATATTTCTACTTCAAACTGTGTTTTTTTAATAATTAGTGGAATTGATATTTTAAACAGAGAATTATCAATCTAATTGTGCACCGTTGTGATACAGCTAATTGTGTAGCTAAAAAACAGCCAGAAAACAATAGTGCATAATGTAGGACCTTTAATTATAAACAAGCTTGAAGAAATACACTTAGACTCTTAATTTGAAATGTTGTATCGCAATTCCAGTTTTCTGCCCCCAGGACTAGGGGTCAACTGATTATCGGCGCCGATATTAAGCATTTTTATGATTATCGGTATCGGTCATTTTCAAAACGATTCGCAGATAAAATAATTTTGAAATGCACTATTTGGCTCTGATGCAGCTGGCCTAAAGTGGTCTCCGCCCACCGCCCATCTGATTTTTTGGGAGTCAGGAGTCCGACCAATCAAAGCGGAATTCACTCTCACTCCGAAAGCGCTTGCTAACTGCAGCTGCTTCAGTGATCACACATCAGTTGTCTCTCAAAGGTAAGGCAGCAGCAGACGTTGCTTAAGTTGCAATAAATCACAATCCACTAACGTCACACTGAAGTTGCAAAACACCTCAATATTATCTATGATTTCCGCGATGCAGAAAACGCGGACGGAATCGCGGAATCCAGTCATATAAATGGAATTTACTGTATGATGCGGAATGTCACGGAATTTGTCAAAGTTTGGATGAATTAATCAAAAGTTTTTTAATTAGGAGGACAAGCGCTCCTGATTACAAGAAGAAAAACACTGCTCTTAAACTGGCTGTGTGACGGGTATGGCTGAGGAAACATTTTCAGTCAAAATATTTTTGTATTTACTACAACAATTATTACAACTTTTGTTTAAAAGAATAAATCACACAATACGCTATTTCTTCCATGTTTTAATTTTAATGGTAAACCCTTTGTTTGCCAAAAAATTAAGAGTTTAACTCTTTAAAATAAAGAGTTAACTGTGGGAGTACTACACTCAACCAACACCAGTGAAGGCAGTTTTTGTCAGAGCCCTTGTTATTCTTAATTTTGACATTAATTTTAATTTTTACACCAGACATATATATCGGTTCAAAATATCGGTTATCGGTCTACTTGATCTGTAATAATCGGTATCGGCATCGGCCTTGAAAAACACATATCGGTCGACTCCTACCCAGGACGACTTAAAATAATTAAGACTTTTTGTTACACGATTTAAGACTTTTTATGACCTTAAAAATAAAAGAGCTTTTTCAGGACTTATTTCTCGTTCACACTCATAAACAGCTTTCTCAGACGCTCCTCAAACACTCGATCTGTGAGTGGATCAGTGTTATTCACACAATCACTGCGACTAGGACAAACACTGTTGATGGTTGCATAAACTGCTTAGACTAGTCTCTCATTTTCTTAAAGATTGGTCATACGTTTAAGAAAGTTATATAAAAAAGGAGATTGAAAGTAGAAAAGCAGACTGATTATTCCCTGGTTAAGTGTATTCAGCCGGCCGCAGGAGGCAGTGAGTCGTGCAAAGGTCACATTTAATCTTGTATTTCACATAAACCTCAACACTGACCGCTTCTGACAGCAGGAACTGTGTGTTTCAGATAAACCGGTGTGGTTTTACCACAGACTCTCAGTGCAAACACACTGTACAGAAAGATTCGGTTCATTCGCATCATGAACTAACAACCATTACAGCACTTATTCATCTACGTTAATGGCACTAGTGTTAATGCATTCATGTTTAACTTTAGTACATTAGCATGTGTAGAAATGAACTAATGAATTGTGATCTTTGCTAGTTCACGATTCACCTAATAATAACTCATGTTAACAAATGAAATGTGATGTGCACTGATGTTTGCGCTTCACGTGTGCGGGTGTGTAAAGAGCTTTAGTGGACTGGATTTAGAAAGGCATTGGTCTGGATCAGACTGGCCTCAGCTAAAGCTCAGAACAAACCCTTCACAGAGCGCCAGACTCAGCGTTTAGCAATCCGTCTGCAGGATTCCAGCGCTTCACAATGAAGTCCAGTGTGATTTTGTGTTTTAAACTCTCTCTCACACATACTGTACATAAACGGCTGCGTTTGATAACATGAAGAGAGCGGAGCGCGTGATAATCTGCTGAACTGGGTCAGAGACGCACACGTGAATCATGGGAAAATCCTCCTCGGCTGCCGGGTGAGAGTCACGCATACGTCAGTCTTAAAGGTGACGTATCATGAAAATCGGACTCTTCCAGGTTGTAAGTGCTATAATCAGGTCCCCGGTGCATCTAGCAACCAAGCAAACCTGAACAAGATGAACCCAGTAACTTTGTTTTGGGAAGCATTTTTCTGCAAGCGTCTGAGAAAACCAGCGCGTCTGATGACGAGGCTCTCATTATAATATCACCGCCCCTTAATCTGCACGTGCCACCGGCGTTGTGTGTTTGCAAGCGACAGCAGTGTAGCAGCTCTAATGCCACGGAGAGAGTTTGAGAAAGCATGCTAACATCTAATGTTGTTAAATGAATGTTTATTGCATTATTTCAGTATTGTGTGTACGCTACAGAAAAAACATGGAGACTCTGGGCTACTTTCAGACTAGTGGAAATAAAACATGCAAAATACACATTTAAGAGTTTATTTATTGCCTGTAGATTTGGAGTTATTTCTTTTACACACAGCAAACTGACGGTTTTCATCCGTTGTTGTGGACTCTCATATAGTTATTGTTATTATAGTGAACAGCCTTAGTTTTGTCGTCTGCCGCTTTAAATGCTCAAGCTGCACTGTAAAAAATTATTGAGATTCTAACAGTAAAAGACTGTAAAAATACTACAGTAAAAACCTATTAATTGGTTAACAGTACGTTCCCTTACTATATACGGTGAAACACTGTAATGGACATTTCATGTAATTTTTACGGTAAAATACCATCGTTTTTGGAATTGAAAAAGAACGTATAATTTACAGTGAAAACCATAAATTGACATTCCCAGAATTCCTTGTGTTGCATTTCACATTTGATGTTTTGTTGTTGTTGAAATAACTGTTTCTTCTTAGTCTTTTCTCACCGGTTTTGTTCATTAGGGTTGTATGTTACATCTAATGTTGTTAAATGAATGTTTATTGCATTATTTCAGTATTGTGTGTGTTACTGTGACGGTGTTTAGTGTGTGTGTGAGTGAGTGAGTGTAGGTGTGTGTGTAACGTTACCTGTCGGCACCTCCACCTGGTGTCCGCGCGCCACATCCCTCCAGTACTGCAGGAGCCTCTCCTCCTCCTCCTGCTCCTGCTGCTGCTCCTCGGGGCTGTCCGACAGCTGCTCCTCCGACACAGACTCCAGCTCCTCCAGCGTGATCATGCCGCCTCCACCGCCGCCGCTCAACCGACACCCGCCGCGGTCCATCGCCGAATCCGGGGAGCGTCGATCCTGAAAGAGCGCGTCCGTACAGAACGATCGCCTCACGCTTACGCGGATCTCGCTTTCATGTCCGCGAACCGGAGTATGTTATTAACCGTGTTCGGGTCGTACGCGCTGTTTCGCAGACAGGACGGTCGTGACGTATTTAAGGGCAGAGTCGTGGTCACGTGACCGCACAAGCGCCGCCCACCTCGCGCAGCAGAGTGTAAATACATCAGCACTCACAACACGCCTGAGAAACTAACAATCATGTTTCCAGATTATGTGTGTGTGTGTGTGTGTGTGTGTGTGTGTGTGTGTGTGTGTGTGTGTGTGTGTGTGTGTGTGTGTGTGTGTGTGTGTGTGTGTGTGTGAGTGTGTGTGTGTGAGTGTGTGTGTCTGTGTGGCTCTCTTTTACAAAAAATAACCATGGTTTTATTACAGTAACCACAGTTTACCACAGTATTTGTAGTAAAACTGCAGTAACCACAAATTTACCATGGTAATAATAATAATAATAATACATTTAGTACTTATGTAACAACCAGTTTATTTCTCATGAGGTATCCTCAAAGGTGCACCTTTGTAACTTATCTACCCTTAAAGCATGCACACTTGTATGGCACTAATATGCTCACTTTTATTGGTATAGTTGGACCTGTGAGGTGCCCCAGTAAAGGGCTAAAATACAATTATAGTATATTTGATTTCTGACAGTGTAAACAAAAAAGACCTATGAAATAAAATAAAAAAACATGGCTTTAAAATCTAATATTAAGTGAGTATAATTACTGATTATATTCTTTTAATAACTTAAAAGATCAGTTTAATTTAGAGGTATTGGTATCGGTATTGATATCGACGATACTGGGCTTGAAAATATCGGTATATGATCGAAAATAAAATAAGAGGTATCGCCCATCCCTAGACGGAGAACAAGAGGGAGAATGTGAGCGCTGTCAGCGCCGTCAAAATAAAGGTCCCACCTCGAACGCATAGGCCAAACAGGAAAACTTAGAAAAAGGCCAAGTATCGGCCGATATATTGGCCTTGGCGATATATCGGTCGACCACTAGAAAGAAGAGCTGGAGGTACATCAGCACGTGTTGACATCAGACCTGTGAGAACAGGAAGTGATTGTTTCCATGCTCAGACAGCCTCTGTGTGTGTCTGTGTGTGTGTGTCTCTGTGTCTGTCTGTGTGTGTGTGTGTGTGTGTGTGTGTGTGTGTGTCTGTGTCAGTTTCTGTATATGTGTGTATGTGTGCAGAAAGTCTCCTGTGAGGGGTAGGTTTAGGGGTAGGGTTGGTGTAGGGCAATAGAATATACGGTCTGTACAGTATAAAAACTATTACGCCTATGGGATGTCCCCACTTTTCACAAAAACAAACCTGTGTGTGTGTGTGTGTGTGTGTGTCAGGGCCCGTCCGAGAGCTGTCTCTATGGGACTGGAGACACTGGCAGAACAGGACGCTTCACACTCACAGCGTGGGACATTCGGAGCGATGCCTCCATTTCACCTCCATCATGGTGCTGATCGACCGGATGAGACAGGAGGAGCAGGTGAAACACACACACACACACACACACACACATGTGTGCGAGCCTCATGTCCTGATACGGATCTCAGAGTCTTAGTTGTTAAGAAGCCGCTTTAGTAAATCTAAACAGGCTCGCTGCTTCATTTCTGAATGCGTCACGACGGCCCATTAGCTGAATTGGTTTTCAGAATTGAATCGTCTCTTTTTGTCTGTATTTGTGATATATCTCTGTCTGTATTTCATGTGAGCTCATACAAGCATCACAGCAGTGCTCTGAATGACAAGTGCCATGAACTTTATCTTTCTAGTTTCTGTAAGTTCAGAGAATCTGAACCCGGCGTGATGCTGTGATTGCTTGCATCTCTACTACATTCACATACGCATTCGTAATTCTTATGAATCAGTTTATTTCTTACGTTTTGATGAGTTGGATTTAAAAAGGTCTTAAATGTACCTGCAGGAAGCCTGTGCTGTGAGAGTGACTCGTGTGTGTGTTTGACCTCAGCGATTGGCTCGCAGTGAGAATCACGGCCGTCTCCTCTATACATGCGCTCTGGAGATGCTCTCTTATGCAACGCTTCTCAGAACAGTTACATAAGCGCTGCAGGAGTGACCGACATGTCCACGAGACACTGGACACGCCATTCTTCAGAGTGGCAGAACAGCGGCTGATGAGCATCAGATATTGATCTGTGCTTCTGCAATAATCAGATTGTTTGCTGAAGCTGCTGAACTGGATTAGTCTCAGTAAGAGGCTCGTTTTTTCACATAAACACTTTAATACGGTGTTAAAAATAGGCCGTGTGGCATTCTTTAATGATGATTACTGGTCATTTTCGGAGTCAGAAGCATTAGAACGGCACAAAGCATTTATTGTCCTCGGCCTGATGCCCGCCTCACATGATGACCTCATTATGACGTACCAGACATTTATGTTTTGAATATTAGGATTGAGTTAAGTAGCTGCTGTGGCACGTCACGCAGCTCAGTTCAGAGGTGATCAGGCTGTTTAGATTCTCAGCATCAGCCAGAAACACGCAGAAGCTCGTGTCAGAGAGAAAATACACTGACAGCCTCGTCACTGCTTCAAACTGGACATTTTACAGTAAATATTGTGAAAATGTGTTAAGATGTTTTATGAACTTCTCATTGTGTGTGTGTGTGTTTGTGTTTGTAAATGAATATACGTAATTTTTGTTATATATATAAAAAATTTTTTGTGTATTTATATTTTATGTACAGTATATTGTGTATATATGTGTATTACTTCTATATGGATATACTGATAATTATATATTCTATATTTATATGCTTATATACAGTATGTACACTAATGGTCAAACGTTTTGTCAGGGGCTGGCGTCTGGTGTTCTCCCTCTCACCACCAGAGGTCGCCATCTCCCATCCTCCCGGACTCTTTTTCCGTCACCTTGACACCACACACCTGGGCACCCACTCACACACACGCACAGCTGTCGCCCATCCGGGACTCCATCACCTGCACTCCACACACCTCACTGGACATTTTACAGTAAATATTGTGAAAATGTGTTAAGATGTTTTATGAACTTCTCATTGTGTGTGTGTGTTTGTGTTTGTAAATGAATATACGTAATTTTTGTTATATATATATATTTTTTTTTTGTGTGTATTTATATTTTATGTACAGTATATTGTGTATATATGTGTATTACTTCTATATGGATATACTGATAATTATATATTTATATGCTTATATACAGTATGTACACTAATGGTCAAACGTTTGGGATCAGAATTATTTTTAATGTTTTTACAGGAGTCTCTTCTGCTCATCAAGGCTGCATTTATTTGATCAAAAATACAGGAAAAAATTTAATATTGTGAAATATTATTATGATGTAAAATAAAGTTTTTCTATGTGAATCTCTGTTAAGCTGTAATGTATTTCTGTGATGCGCAGCTGTATTTCCAGCATCATTACTCCAGTCTTCAGTGTCACATGATCTTCAGAAATCAGTATAATATGCTGATTTATTATCAGAGCTGAAACTGTTATTTCTTTGGAAGCTGTGATACTTTTTTCAGGATTCTTTGATGAATAAAAAGTTAAAAAGAAGAGCATTTATTTAAAATAGAAATCTTTTGACTGGTAGTGTATATGTTTATTTATTTATATATACTGTATGTATATATACATTTCAATTTATGATTGTAATATTTGTAGATAGAGAGGCAGACAGACAGAAACTGTTTAGATGATCAGACGCGAGACAGCATAAAATAAAATCAATATCTATTTTCTAAATGCATGTTATTGATCTTACTGTGAAAGTTTCATCCATGCATTTTGTTAATTTTATTTTTTACTTTTTTTTTTACCAGCATGTCATAACAGTAAGCATCAGTCTTCATGGTGATCATTTAGTCTTCTTAAACTCCGCCCCTTTCTTACAATCCAGTGCAAACTCTCATTCAGATCCGCCTCCAGCTTAGAAAGCCACGCCCACATCTCAACATCCAATCAACTGATGCACGGAACCAAATCCTGCCTTACATTTTTTTCTCTTTTGTTGATCTGTTTCATTCTGATGCATGTCACAGTATGGAAGAAAAGCTCTTACTCTGATTCTATTGCGTTGTGACTTTAAATGACTAATGAAAGGAGACAGAAAATATCACCTCTGCAGTGAATGGGTGCCGTCAGAATGAGAGTCCAAACAGCTGATAAAAACATCACAATAATCCACAGCACTCCAGTCCATCAGTTAACATCTGGAGAAGACAAAAGCTGAAACTAATCCAGCATTAAGACGTTTTTAACTAAAATACATAGAGTCCATAATCCATAATAACTCTTCCTCCAGTGAGTCAGTGTTCTGGTGTGAATCAGGAGAGAAATCTGCACAGATCAAGCAGCGTTTAAACAGCTCTAAACACATATGTGAGACAACAGCAGATGCACTTTTTCACTGGAGGAAGCGTTATTATGGATTATAGACTCATATTTTAGTTAAAAGCATCTTAATGCTGGATTTGTTTCTTATAAACACACGGCTTTTGGCTTAAAAGAGACAGTTTCATTTAGGGCTGCACAATTACAGATGCCACAATCACAAAATCGTCCACTAAATAAAGTCCACTTGTGTTATTCTGCTTGTAATGATGTCTTTTGTCCTTCAGTGTGTTTCTGGTTTTGAGCCACTAGAGGCCGCTCTTCATCATGGCTCTGTTCCTCTGTGCTCTTCCTCTTCATCACATATCTGTCAGTAATCAGCTGATGGTGGCTGTGAACTGGTTTGCTTCTGTCTTTAGGCTGGAATACACTACACTACACCAGCACGGAGTTAGCATTCACACATTAAAAAAAGCCAGCATAAGTTTACTGAAGCCACACAGTTAACCCTTTAAATGCCCCATATTTTGTGAGAGACAAATATTCGTGAATGTGTTTCCATATTTATTGACTGTTGAAGGGAAGAAAGTTCCCTTGAGCTTCATGAATCAAAAACACTGACGATCTGTCATCAGATATCTGTCTGCTAATGCCCTCATAATAATACTGGTGAACAACAACAAATGATGCACATATATACAGGAATATGTCAATTACAGGCATGTCAGGAGCTAGTCACATGTTTTAAGGTGCATGTAAAGATTAAATAACAATTACAAAATGCATGTATGTATGTAAACATGTAGGACTTCTTGAACAAGATCATCTGCAGCTCTTGCGGTCTGAGAGTCTATGCATTCATCTAGTTTTTACTAATCGTGACTAAGATCATGAAATCAACTTTTTACGTTATCTTTGCATTTAAGGTTTACGGTTTTTAGTCTCAAACTTTGTACCTGCGTTAAGAAACACAAAATCAACATGCACTCAGAAAAAACATTGCAAACATTGTAATTTTAGGGTTGCAGCGGCATGTCACTGGAGCACAACTTTGCACTTTAAATAGCCCTAAAAGTGCATAGTATTACTTTAAGAGCACATATTGCTACTCTGAGGTGCTGATATTTACATCTATGCCTTTGTCTGATGCATTTATCCAAAGCAACTTACATTGCATTCGAGGCACACATTTACATTTTACAGCTCTTGTGCAAACCCAGCAATTGGGCTGTTTTGACCCAGCGGGCAGGTTAAATGTTTAACCCACCCTTCTGGGTAGTAACCCAACCGCTGGGTCAAAACAGCCCAATTGCTGGGTTTGTCCCTATTTAACCCAGCACTGGGTTGTGTTTAACCCAGCATTTTTTAGAGTGTAGATTTTAATTGATTATACAACCTAATAGATGGCAATTTGTCAAACCATGAATGCAGAAACAGAGCAGACAATAAAGCCTTTGACTGAACACATGCATTCAGTGTTTATGATGAGCTTTAATAGTAGATGCACTCTTAAAAATAAAGCTTCCAAAAGGGGTTTTTGCAGGGATGCCACGGAACAGAGGAGCCAAAAATCTATTTAATTGGAAGCCGTGGGCCATAAGAAAATGTTGCATTATACCCAACTGTATTATATTCAAATGTATTAATCTTTTTCCCTCACTCTTGTGATAATGGCGTGGCGGGTCAAATTAATGGTCATCATGGGCCAGTTTTGGTCAGTGAGTTTGGGAATCTCTGCCATAGAAGAACCATTTTTCTTAATCTTAAAAATAGCATTTTACGAATCTGAAGACGCGTTTGCACAGTGGAGGGGTCCCGTGGATGCTAAAGGTTCTTCATGGAACCACCAATGAAGAGCCTTTATTTTTAAGAGTGTAAGAAGAACCAGTTCTGAAGAGTTTTATAGTTTGGTCAAAGCGGACATTCCTTGACCGTATCAAACGGATGTCCGACCAGCACGCCTGCGGCTCCTGAAACATGGACGCCTGAGAGTGAGATTGGACCGTTTTCAGACCGTCCCCGGGATGTCAGGCCGGTTATATCTCACCGCAGAGCTGCAAACGACTGATGCAATGTGTTTGAGATACGAGTTAGACGTCAGTGTTTGAGGTCAGCTCTTCAGCCTTGACCCGTGCGAATGAAAGCGACACCTGCGTCACTGAGGCAAGAGCTGTTTGACCGGTCGACATGGACCTCACACAATCATGATCATCTGACTGCAAACGTCTGGAGAAAGTCTTCATGCTTCTCAAGATCATTCCTGTTTGATGAGCTTCAGCTCTTATCAGAATGATGGATTGATTCAGCAGCATGTGAAGGATTCTGTATGATGACAGGTTTCGCTCAGATTAAATGCATTTCGGATCAGAATGATTGTTTATTGGCTCTTCAGTCGCTCACATGAAAGTATCTGATGATATTTGTTGGATCCCAGTGTGGGATATTAGTCAGAGAGCTGACAGCATACAGCGGGTAGCTAGTAATCAGTTACCAGTGGAACTAGAGAGCTGTTCTCTACTTCAGCAACTAGATTAGTTCTCATTTACTCATTGACTGAGTGTTGAATGTTTCAGTGAGCGTGTGCAGATCTTCAGTCAGTCGAATGAAGCGCATTTTACCTCCAATGCATCCTGCAACAAAGTCCAGAGCCATTCCTCAGATGATGAAGATGATGATGAAGATGAGTGTCTGTGAGCTCTGATCCAGCAGCAGCAGCAGCAGCAGGGTTTGTTCAGTCGCTGGACGTCTGTGCTCATGAGCAGCTGCTGCTTCTGTGCTGCTATTTTTACTGAATGAAGTTGATATGAAGGGGAAAGTCCATCTGTGACCAATAGAAGCTCCAGGATGAAGAAACACCCCCATCACCATCATCATCGAGGCGCTTACATGCATGTGCTTGAGACACTGAGCAAACCTCTGTCAGAGCTTCAGCTCACTGTGATATAGTTCTGTACATTATAAATATGAAGCAGGTGCATGCTAATCAGCAATTATATAATAATAATAATAATAATGATTAGAAAGCATGCTTAATAATTCTAATCTATTATTAGTTACTGAAAATGAATGTTGATGCGTACGCCAGGTTTATTATAGTAAACTAAACCATAAACCATAAAAATTATTATTTGAAATAAAATAAAAAATACTTGAAATGAAAAACATTTACTGAAAATATTTTACTTTTTTTTGTTGAAGTTGATAAAAGCACATTTCTCATTTTAATTTAGTTTAACCTGATGCATTAAAATAGCTAAAAATGAATAAAACTAGACATTACAAAAACAATCTAATAAACATTAAATGAAAAAAAAATTACAATGAAAGTAGAAAAAAACCTATAATAGTTATAATAACCTCAGCGACTCTAAAACAAGCATTTTGAATTGTATAATAATAAAGCTGCTTTGGTTTGACAATATCAAAATCTCTTTTCTGTGTGGCTGACTCGTGAGAAGATTTTTAATGAAGTCAGGCCAGACTTGGTTTTAAGGGTTTTTGATTATTATTTTATTGTAGTTTTGTTTTTTAATCTAATGTGAACTTTAAAACAGCTTTTGTACATTTTGTTCTCTTTTGTTGTTTATTTACATATTTATTATTATTGTTGTTATTTAATTTATTATTTATTTATGCATGCATTTAGCCTTTTTCTTGTCATGAAAACAGCCGTGGCGTGTCCTTAAAATACAAACAAGCAATATGCGCTGGCTGTTTATTAACAGAGCGGCGTTTACAGTAGCCGACGCTGTACAGTAATCACGTGACAGAGCGAATGTGACTCTTGGCCTTTAACTCTGCTGTGTATCTTCATCATCATCATCATCATCATCGTCGTCGTCAGTGGTGTGAGGGAAGGGGAGCAGCGCCGCTCAGCGGTCACTGCAGGAACACGAGCGCTGTCGGACTCTGTCTTGATCTGATCCTGATGATATTTCCTGCGCTACAGTGACTCACAGAACATCAAAGGAGCCGAACATCCGCGCGGACTCACGCGCTACTGTTACACGCCATCGCTGATGTTTCTGAAGGTGATCGTGACCTTCGGTTCACCTTTCTGCAGCGACACACACACACACACACACACACACACACACGCTTCTTCTTCACAATCATCATCAGCTCGTCAAACTGCTGGTTCCGATTCCTCTATTTGATCGGTTCGGATCATGTGTGATGAGTCGGATCGGTTCTGATTCTTCTGCTTGATCGGTTCTGCTGGTCTGCTCGTGATGCATCTCGCGGATTTCGTCGCCGGTTCTGTCGGAGGTCAGTGCTGTAACTCAGCTGTGTTTAGTCTCAGTGTGTGAATGTGAGATGCTCTTATTCTGCATCATGTATGTCTGTTATTTCTCTGCGATGAGGAATGTGTTGTGATCTGTATATTCAGGGGCTTTTGGAGTGGCCGTGGGGTATCCGCTGGACACAGTGAAGGTAAAACCATCCTCCTCATCCTCCTCATCTTCATCAGCTGCAGTACTGTATCAGGTGTGTAACGCTGATGGATGCTGCAGGTGAGGATCCAGACTCAGACACGTGACTCAGGTGTTTGGGAGTGTGTGAGAAGAACCTGCAGGACTGAAGGAGTGAGTACCTGCACAAACACTCACAACTATCCAGGAGAAATAAGCAAAAGGGTCATTGAGAATTTTTAGATTGAGACTGCTCTTCAGAAAAAAAGCCAGAATTGTAGTTGGCAAGATAATAATAATATGACGATGTGCAAGTTGCAGAAACTTTTGAGCAGAACTGTAAAGTCAGAATTGCGAGATATAAACAAAATCGAGATAAAGTGAGAATTGCTCGATTAAATCACAAATACTCTTTTTATGTGTTATTTCTGTTGTGGAAAGTAAGTAACCCGCCGGCGTGTTTCAGGTCAGAGGTTTCTACCGCGGGATGTCCATGCCGCTGAGCACCGTCTCCATCAGCTCCTCGCTGGTGTTTGGCAGCTACAGGAACGTCCTGCACCTCCTGCATGAGCTGCGGCACAGGAGCGCAGCGGATCCGCACCATAAAGCTGATTTATTTGTGTCTGGGTTTGCTGGCGGTGTGGCTCAGGTGCTCTGCGTTCATCAGCTGTCAGGCAGCGCTTCTCGTGTGTGGCTGCATGTGTGAGTCAGGTGTGTTCGCTCTGCTTTCAGGTTTTGGTGATGTCCCCCGCAGACATTGTGAAAGTGCGTCTTCAGTGTCAGACCGAGCTGCCGGACTCCAGGCCCAAGTACCGCGGCCCGGTGCACTGTCTGCTGAGCATCGCGCGGGACGAGGGTCTGCTGGGGCTCTATAGGGGCTCTGCTGCTTTAGTGCTGCGCGACGGACCCTCCTTCGCCACGTACTTCCTCACGTACAACAGCATCTGTGATTCCCTGCGCTCTACAGACAGCGGCCAGCCAGGTGCACTCACTTCCCTCTGACAACACCGGATCTAGAAGTTATTCAGCAGCCACACACTGCAGGCAGACCCGTTTTGAGATTTTAGTCCATAACACGTCTCTTACTACAGACTAGTGGAGAGAAAACCTCCAAAATACACATTGAAGTCTTTATTCTATCGCACTTTATCTAGTTGCGTCTGTAGATTTCAATCTTTAAAGAGTTTTTTTCTCTTACAAACACTAAACTTTACAGTTGCATTCCTTTCTATATTCTGAAGGTTTGTTCATAAATGTGACCCTGGAGCACAAAAGCAGTCATAAGGGTCAATTTTTCAAAATTGAAATTTCTACATCACCTGAAAGCTGAATACATAATCTTTCCATTGATGTATGGTTTGTTAGGATTGGACAATATTTGAAAATCTGGAATCTGAGGGAGCAAAAAAATCTAAATATTGAGAAAATCATCTTTAAAGTTGTTCAAATGAAGTTCTTAGCAATGCATATTACTAATCAAACATTAAGTTTTGATGTATTTACGGTAGGAGATTTACTAAATATCTTCATGGAACATGATCTTTACTTAATATCCTAATGATTTTTGGCATAAAAGAGAAATGTATAATTGTGACCCATACAATGTATTGTTGGCTATTGCTACAAATATCCCCCAGCGACTCAACACTGCTTTTGTGCTGCAGGGACACAATTCATTCACACTGATTTCTACAACATTTTACTCATAAAAACATGGTGAAAATGTGTTTGTTCTCTGTCTGTTGACTGTATTTTATACAGATGCCTGTTTCTGCCACAGTGTTAAAACATTTAAGAATTGCAAGTTTTTGTTTCACAATTCGAACTTTTTTAGAATTCACAATTTTGGTGTTTTTTGTTCCTCTTAATTCTGCGTTTATATCTCACGATTCTGAGAATTCTGAGGAAAAAGGCAGAATTCTTTTTTTCTGTGGTGGAAACAAGCTTCCATAACTTTATGTGTGTGAGATCTGTGCTGTGTTTCAGGCTGGCCGGTGGTTCTTCTGGCCGGTGGTGTGTCTGGGATGTGCGGCTGGGCCGTCGGGACACCGATGGATGTGATCAAGGCGCGTCTGCAGGTGTCTGGCGTGAGCGGCCGGCGCTACAGAGGATTCTTCCACTGTCTCTCACACAGCGTGAGGAGCGAAGGTGCCTCTGTTCTCTTCAGAGGTCTGACGGTGAACTGCATCCGTGCCTTTCCGGTCAACATGTCCGTCTTTGCCATGTATGAACTGGTTGTTCGCTTTCTGCGTCCGGCCTCATAGATCGTCGTCAGATCTTTGCACACGTGATTCCTCACTGAGGACGGTTAGCATCAGTGCTTTATGAACCGCACAGCTGGACGTTCGTGACCGGAAGCCTTTCTGTGCTCAGCTTCTGAGCTGCAGAAGCTCTTCAAGCACATAATGTACGGAGTGAATATTTATCATTTGCATTCATATATATTTGAGTGTGTTTTGCAGTGTCTACCTCCAGAGGCGTGCGTCTGTGCATCATGAATGTTTAAAGGAATAGTTCGGCCAGAAATGAACATTTGCTGAAAATGTGCTCATCCCAGATCAGGATGAGTGTGTTTCTTCATCAGGTTAAATGCAGCATTGCATCAGTGTCTCACTGCAAGTGAATGGGTGCCGTCAGAATGAGAGTCCAAACAGCTGATAAAAACATCACAATAATCCACAGCACTCCAGTCCATCAGTTAACATCTGGAGAAGACAAAAGCTGAAACACATCCAGCATTAAGACGTTTATAACTCAAATACATTGAGTCTATAATCCATAATAACTCTTCCTGCAGTGAGTCAGTGTGCTGGTGTGAATCAGGAGAGAAATCTGCACAGATCAAGCAGCGTTTAAACAGTCCAAGACAGATTTGTCTCAGCTTTTGTCTTCTCCAGATGTGAACTGATGGACTGGAGTGCTGTGGATTACTTGTGAATTATACTCTCATTCTGACGGCACCCATTCACTTGCAGTGAGACACTGATGCAATGCTACATTTCTCCAAACCTGATGCCGTGAAAGTGAGGAAGCATTCAGCACATTTTCATTTTGGAGTGAACTATTCCTTTAAGGACTTTAATCATGCGAGTATCATATGAAGAGTTTTAACCCTTTACTAAGAGTTTCTGATGAGTGAGACTCTTCTCTGTGTATTTAATCTCAGTTGGAATGACTGGAGACTCATGTTTAACTCCTATCAGGATTTACACATTGACGCGCGTTCTGTGTCAGGTGTGTGTCTTGTTTTACAGATGGACTGTGAATCTATCGTGTGTTAAATGCACCATTTATTCATGTGAATGTTCACTGAATCAGCAGTACTGTAATTATGGCATTAAACGTGTCATTTATAACATCAGAGTGTGATTATTTATGCATCGCAGGCATGAGGTTTATTAGACCGGAGCGGTTGGTATCTGTGGGTCTCTAGCAGTTGAAGTGTAGTTTGCGAGGGCTCATGAACTGTTGTACGATCTCGTCCGTCACGAGTGTGCGTCTCTCCTGATGCGCGGCGATCATGAGCTGAAGCGTCTCGATTAAACTCTTCTTCAGTTCTCCGGTGAGCAGCGCGCCGCTGCTGTAGTCCTGCAACACAGCCACGAGTTTCCCATCACTCACATACTCACATACTACAATAACGTTTCATTAGTTAATACGTACAATACTTTTACAGCACTTATTAATATTAGTTCATGTTAAGTTCAACATTCACTGATACATTATTAAAATCAAAAGTTGTATCTGTTAACATTTACTGAACAGTTTTATTAACATCATTAACAGATTAATTGGTCATTCATTCTCAATACATTCTTCATTCTTAGTTTGTTAGTTAATGCATTCACTTAAATTAACAAACGAGACTTTATTGTAAAGTTTGACCGTTTTTATTAATATTTAAATTTTGCTTTTATTTTTATATTTGCAGTTTTCACTTTAAATTGCAAGTTTTAGTAAGTTATGTTTTTTTTTTAGTTTTAGTCGTTTTAGTACAACAAATTACACTAAATGAAAATGATGCATTGGCACCTAGCAGAAATAAAATGTGATTGTCATAAGGTTTTTATTCATTTTTATTTCAGTTTTTTTAGTTAGTTTTTTAGTACATAAAGTAAATGAAAATGAGAAACGTTGCCTTGGCAAGTTTTTAATATTTTTTATTTTGAGTAATATTATAAATATATTTATTTTACTTTGAAATTTAATTTTACAGTAAAAGTTAATTTTTTTATTTCAAGTAACAAAACTTTCTATAATAATAAACATTTATTTGTATATCATTTTTCATAAGTGTCTCTGCAGCACAAAAGCAGTGTTGAGTCGCTGGGGGATATTTGTAGCAATAGCCAACAATACACTGTATGGGTCACAATTATACATTTCTCTTTTATGCCAAAAATCATCAGGATATTAAGTAAAGATCATGTTCCATGAAGATATTTTGTAAATGTCCTACCGTAAATATATCAAAACTTAATGTTTGATTAGTAATATGCATTGCTAAGAACTTCATTTGAACAACTTTAAAGATGATTTTCTCAATATTTAGATTTTTTTGCACCCTCAGATTCCAGATTTTCAAATATTGTCCGATCCTAACAAACCATACATCAATGGAGAGCTCATTTAATCAGCTTCAGATTCAGCTTTAAATAAAAATGGACTCTTATGACTCAATGTTTATAAAAACAGAAGCATAAAAACAAACACTGAAAATATGGTTTCACACAATAACAATATAATACAGTACTATTTTCAGTGTTGAGGATAATAAGTGACGTCATCAGCTGGATCACGTGATCTCACCTGTCTGATCTTCTCCAGCTGATCATCGTCTTCCAGGAAGAAGCTCAGGTACATGAAGGAAACGTCCACGTCTGGATTCCCGCCGCACCTCCTGTGCTCCTCGACCGTGTCCTTCCCGCCGGAGAAGGCGTGTTTGTTGACCTGGAACAGGAATGATGAAGATGATGAACACCAGCTCACCTTCTGCGAGTAATGGGTCAAAAGGAGGCGCACCTTGTTCTTGATCTGTTTGGCCGAGTCGGTCAGGAAGATGGAGGAGTTGGCGTCGCTGGCGCTCATCTTGGTCTGAGCTCCCTGCAGCGCCGGGAAGAAGGTGGAGTGAAGCAGAGCCGGCTTCGGATACCCGATCCGAGGAGCCACGTCCCGCGTCATCCGGAAATACGGGTCCTGAGGGGCACACGGTCACATGATCACACGACACGAGTGAGCACGAGCACGAGTCGAGCGCCTCACCTGATCGATGGCACACGGGATCAGACACTGAACATCCGTCCGCTCGCCGAAGATCTGCGGGAACGAGCTGCTGAAGGACGGAGCTGCCTGGACGGCCGGGAAACTGATTTTACCTGCAGAAACACGAGATTAAACACCCCAGACAAACACTCGCCGGACTCACGGCACACAGAGACGCTCCTCACCGATGCAGTCGCTGTCTGTGAAGCCAAAGATGCCTTTGACCTGGTTAAACGTCACGTGCTTCTGGACCTTCACCACGTTCCTGTAAAACGAAGGGCTCGCCCTGACGGGAAAAAAAACATCTGGACAGTTATTTATTTCAGAGTCGAGTCAAATTTATATAGTGCTTTTCATAATGCAGCTTTACAGGAGATCATGATGTTATGTTTATAATACCTTAATATCTTCATTCATTACAGTCACATGCATCAGATTCCAGCTGGACGATAATAGTGTTACATTTTGCGATATAAACAATCAAGCAGTTGTGGTTTGCTATATAGTATATATATCGCTATTTGTGATGTATGTATGTGGATACATTTGGATATATATATGTAGATATATTTACATATTTTTGTATTTATATATGCGTTTACACATTAATTTACTGACACACACACACATAAAGCAGTTGAGATGTAATAGCGCCACCTGCTGTCTGCACTGACACACAACATCAAACTGTTGCATTATAAAGACGTGTGAGTATTTTTACCCCATATAGTCCAGATCAGAGAAGATGAAGGTCTTGTTAACGTCGAATCCGCAGGCGATGATGTCTCTGGCGTTCTCTATCGTGTACCGGTGACACTCGTCCAGCGACAGATCCTTCCACAGATACTTCTCATCATCGGTCATCTGAATGACCAGAGGAACGTCGAACACGTCCTGAAGCCATCTGTGACACACACACACAGATATACACACACACATCCCGCTGCACGCTGGCGCACTGAGGAAGACTCACTTGGTGAAGATGAAGGGGATCAGGTGACCCACATGCATGGCCTCTGAGGACGGCCCTCGACCCGTGTACAGATAGAAGGACTTCTGCTTCTCGTACGCGTCCAGGATCTGATGCATGTCCCTGCGGATCACAAACGAGGCATTAGACCAAAGGATCAAGCTTTCAGATGCCGTGATCCTCATGTGAGCCACACACATCCTACAACTGAACACAGCTATAAATGTACCACTGCAGAGGCCTGGTTTACACGGTGTATATACTGTAAAGCCTGTTGACTTTTGCCCTTTTTTTTTTTTACATTCGTTTCTTATTTATTTGGCTCCACAGTGTTTGTTTTATTCGTTTGTTAATAAAAGCTCTGTTTAATATAAGTGAGTTTGTCGTTGTACTGTTTTGTTGTTGTCCATTCAAGCAATTGATTTGAAAAGTGAAAGTTCAGCAAGGTTCCGCTGCGGTCACACCTCGATTAACCGCTGGAAAAATGCTATTTTTTATTATTTTAATTTTTCTACTCACTATAGAACTGTACTATTATATGTATTTTTAGTTTATTTGAATATTTATTTTTATCAGTTTTATTTATTTTAATCTATTAATTTATTTATATTTTATTATTTTAAATATTTTTTACTATTTATTTGAATCTATTTACTTATTTATATTTTGTCTATTTATTTTAATCAATGTTTTATTATTTATATATGTAGAGTGCTGGTGTGTGATGAAGCCTCAGTCGCACCTGTGTGAGAAGAAGATTCCTCTGCGCAGGAAACGGTGCGGTGTTTTTCCCGTGACTCGAGCGATTCTGTCCACCAGCTCCTGATCGATCTTACTGCTGCCGAACCGCACTGCCAGCAGCAGAACAACCTCGTTAATGCATTATTCATCACAGGTCATATATGAAATCAGACCTGCAGCAGATCTTCCACGGATGCACTGAAATGATGATAACAACATCAACTGACCGATGAGTTTATCGTAGTCGACTCCTTTGGCGCTGCTGGAGGAGACGTTCCACGGATCCACCTGATCATCTCCATCCTCCAGCACTGCTCCGGTGTCCACCACCATCTCACCGTCCGCCGGTGGACATCCATCCTTATAGTCCTGACCGGTGAGACGCTTGTAGTCCAGCTTCATCTGCAGCAGCAGCTGCACGGCGGCGTCAACTTCAGCCTGAGGAACCAACACATGAGAACATCACATCACCTGTCAATCATCACATCACAGGTCAACCATCACAGGTCAATCATCACATCACATGTCCATCATAACATCACAGGTAAATCATGATCACATGTCAATCATCATCACAGGTCAATCATCACATGACAGGTAAACCATCACATGCCAATCATCACATCACCTGTCAATCATCACATGTCAATCATCACATCACCTGTCAATCATAACATCACAGGTAAACAATCACAGGTCAATCATCACATCACATTTCCATCAGAACATCACAGGTAAATCATGATCACGTGTCAATCATCACATCACAGGTAAACCATCACAGGTCAATCATCACATCACATGTCCAGCATAACATCACAGGTAAATCATGATCACGTGTCAATCATCACATCACAGATAGATCATGATCACATGTCAATCATCATCACAGGTCAATCACATGATCACGTGTCAATCATCACATCACAGATAGATCATGATCACATGTCAATCATCATCACAGGTCAATCATCACATCACCTGTCAATCATCACATCACAGGTAAATCATGATCACATGTCAATCATCACATCACATGTCCATCATCACATCACCTGTCAATCATCACATCACAGGTTATGAAAGCTCCAGCAGGATTCTTTCTTCAGTGTCAGACTCACTTTAGGGCTCTTCTGAGCTTTCAGAGATCTCACTGTGTCTCCCTGAGCTGTCAGCGTCTCATACAGATCCATCGGGCTCAAATCTGACATCTTCACCTGTAATGATGTGAATGTGATCGTTTATATTGTGATAAATGTGACTGAGGCCAGCTTTAAACATCGATCTGAAATCAGTGTCACGATCAGCGATCCCACCGGTAACAATAACCAGTTCATTTCAGCATTAAGTAACCATGAAGAGTAAATAAACTCACCGTTTGGTGCTGGTGATTTAACGTGCATTAACCGGCTTGCATCAGACTGGCTGTGGCGGCGTCACACCGAGACCTGCCCGTCTGGAAACATTCCCTCCGCTCAGGGTTGCCAGGTGTTCACAAGACCCGCACAAACGCCACTCAAAACGAGCCCAATCGCGTTTCGAGGGGATCACATACACGTTTTTCGGCGAGGTTCCCCAGTAACACCGCATCCCAGTGGCTGAATATCACGTTATTGGGGTCGCTTCAACAGTGTTAAAGTAGCCCGACTCCGCGGGAAACCCGAGCACCTGGCAACACTGCTCCCTGTACAGCACTTCCGGTCGCGTGTCTCACCCCGTTAAAGACGCTTTGTTTGTTGTTTACCTTTATTTCTATAGCGCTTTATACACGCTTTTATAGACGCGTGTCTTCTCTGTAACTTCCTCACGGACATGGATTTAAAATAAGACTTTTATTTTGTGTGTATCTTAAGATCCTGACGGTTCCGCGCTTCCGGTAATCATGCAAACAAGAATATATAGTTATAAAACGATTTCAAACTAATCTTTAAAGACTTATAATATGATGTGGATCTGACGGATCAATATTTACTGATAGCTCTGTTAATGTCAGCTATTCTTCTGATGATTTATTTATAGAGAACTCCAAATACATTTTCTGTGCACATAGAAGTTAGTTTTTAGTGTTATAATATAAGTTATATATGTTATATAAAAAAACTAACTAGTCTGATTACACGTATTTTAAAATGTAATTAAATCTAATTACAAGTACTTAATTTTTGGATGTGGTCAGTTACTACCAGCTCTGGTCTTAACCTCCTGAGACCCAGAACAAACTTGTTTTTTTGTGTTTTTTATGTCATTATTGGTTTGAGCATAAGAAACAAAAGGAGAAAAAATATATTGCATTCTATGTCCTTTGTAGAGGACTGAGTTATTAACTATATATATTGGCATGCATGGCCAAAATCAGTTTTTAGGTTTCAGGCTATTTTTAAGCCAAACTTTGTACAAACTAAAGAAGATTAAAGATCAACTATGTTATGAAAGATATAAGAGAATGATTTGATATACTACTGTACTTTATGGAGCATGTGCGTAAAATGTCCATAAATTGGTTTTTCCATTCTATACAATGCATCTAATTTGCATATTAATGTGTTCCTGGGGCAAACCATAATGAGAAAGAAGTGATAACATGGCAACATTTTCATAAGAATATTTCATAGGAATATTGATCTATGGTTTCGTGTTGTGTTTCGCTAAAAGGCCTGATCATGATGAAAAGCATGCCCTGTTTCATAACAAAAAGTCACCAAATTGCATGATGAACCCGTAGTCTCGTAGAAACACACCGAGATGTGTTTCCTCGATCTGCTCCTGAGAGGCCGCCAGCGCTGTGCTAATCACATTTCTTAATTAAAAGCGCAGAGGAAGCGTGTTAATTATGCAGGAGGATGATTCTCATCGCTCCCCAAACATCAGCCTGTGATAGACGAGACTCATTCTCACCGTTCAGAGAGAAAGGAGTGCAAGCACATGATCATAGCACATCCTCTCATTAATATGCATGCATTGGTTCATCATCGTATGATGTGGACACTTTCATTAATTATGAATCTGAATCTTTTGATTTGCACACAGACGATAATCAATAATCACCCGTGTTTGGAGTTTCGAAGTTGCAGATTAGTTACAAATGTGTAAAATGACATTTATATAAACAAGATGCAGTCACTGGTTTTATTTGTGTCCTTACAGATCAAATGATGTTCATATTCCAATTCAGTATGGAAAGGATTTATTTACTAATGAAAAATACAGCACGGATATAGAAACATGCGTCTAGAATTAGTTTCTCCTTTAATGCGGTCGGGTCGGATGGTGAGGTAGAAACATCAAAACACACACAATCACTTTAACCGTCAACATCTGTCTGAGTTACGTCTACAGCGATGCGTTAAAGGTTTACAGCTCGCCACACGTGTTCACGTTGGCTTTATCACAGTATCTAAATCACAGTTTACTGCTTCATCGCGACGATGTGAACATGAGCTGAAGTTTAAATCATTTCCCGATAGATCCACACTCATTTACAGACTGCATGTACATTCCTGGTGTGTCTTGTAGATGAAAACAGGGTTATAGTACAAATGTAATATTAACAAATATTTACAATCAAATCATTTTTAAAACATAGGAGCTGCTTTAGTAACAGAGCAAACTGTATTGTGACTTTTATGATTGTTAGTTTCTGATTTTGTCTGAAGAGAGAATGGTTCCGATTGGACCTGATGAAGTAGACTGAGAAATCTGCTTAATTAATTACTGTCTTCTTCATTAAAGCTGAAGTATGTAATTTCTGTGCCACCGAACGGATAATACTTAATCACTAAAATAAACATTTGACTAATTGGTAAAGATATACATTTTGTATAAGAATAAGAGTTTGGAACAATGTTTGGTGATTAATTTATATACACATACGTATACACAAACAAAAATGGGTAAAAAATAAACCAATATACCATTTAAAACTGAACTGATGCAATATATTGAGACTCTAAAGTTGCGAGAAGTACCGTAATAAGGCGACTTGAAACCTTTTCTCTTGTTAATTCATTTTAAGGTTTTCCCTGGATAATTGATTTGATTAATTGCAGTTTTTTTCCTTTGATGCTGCTGTTATTGTGACAGTAATCCACTGTAAATTCTCTGTATGTATGTATGTAAACAGCATAGACCTGTTTGTGTGAGCGGCCCAAAATGTCAACTTCTGACTCAACCAATCAGATGAGTTTGGGGTGGGACAATCTGTCTGAACGACCAATGACAGATGAGGGGCTGAAGAGACAGTACAAGTCTTTGGAAACACACACTTCAGATGTAAAATCAACCAAGACTCTTTCCACTATCCAGTCAAACTCAACATGACAACAGTCATGTTTGCAGGCATGTTCACATATTGTTCTTTATTTTGCTGCAGTACGTTTTTCTGACTGTTAGTTAAGCAGCGTTCCATAAAGCTGAGCTTTAGTCAGACTGTCTTTGCGACTGAGTCCAGCGTTTCCAAACTTTTGATGCTGTTGCATCATCTTCTGAGCTCCGGGGTTTTTAAGATCTTTGTATTTCTGGACGTCCAGATCGTGGTTCAGTGACTCCGCTGAACTGCCGGGGCTTTCATCAGCGTGATCTCTCTGTAAAGCGTCTTTAGTCACGTTCTCCTTGTCTTTGGCGTTTCCAGTCATGAAAAAGCTGCTTGTCGAACCCTTTGAGCCAAACATCAGTCCTCTCTCGGCCTTCAACGCATTCAGACTCGTCTTCGGGTTCAGGTCAGGACTCGATCCCGTTGACGCAGGGAATCGTGGATCCGGCACACGCCTGCGGAAGATGTTGTCTTCCTCCTGGAAGCTGCTGTAAAGAGGACCTGGTTTGATCTTGGCTGGACCGGCCGTAAAGTGGTGCTCTGGGAAACCGAAGGGCGAGAATCTGCTGATGTCCTCGATGCTCATCTGCCGCCAGCCATCCGTCGGGTCCGCAGGGACGAGGACGCGTCTGTCTCCGGATCGGCCGTTCTGTGAGCCCACATGCTGGGAGCTGCTTGACTTGGGAAAACCTGGACGTTCCTTTCCATACGAGGACAAGTTCTTGCGCTCATAGTCTCCATCGCACCAGTCTGTGCACAAAGACAAACCGTGAAGCTTCTCATCCGAGGCTGTGCTGCAGCTGAAGGCGGGAAGAGATCCGAAGTCGAACCCACGGAAATGGTCTTCATGCAGAGGGAAGCTCTCGTCGTCCAGGTTGCTGTCGGTGGACTTGTGTCCTCGGATCCGTCCACTCTGGTCCGCGCTCTGCCGTCTCTCCGTCCAGCGGTCGCGCCGCCGCTCATCAGAGGGACAGTACAGCGCCGTGTCGCTGCAGTACAGGTCAGACGACTTATACGCCGTGTGCCGCTGGACTTTGTTTTCTGTGCCGGATGGGAATTCTGGGGCTTGCGGGCTCGGCGAGCGTGTGACCGGACAGCTTCTCCCAGGCTCAGGTTTCTCCAGGACCCGGCCGATGACGGCGGTGGGAACGGCGTCTGAAAAGGAGTGATGCAGCGCTGCGCTCCGGCCGTGACCCTGCCGCTGCATGTGGGAGCTCACTCGCTCCTGAAGATCAGCGGGAAGCTAAAACAAGCACACAGAGAAACTCTTAATACAGACAAGACCCTACAAGAGAAGAAATGTGTTGGAAATAAGAAATCATACTCTCATCTTTCTTCCATGGTACCCCTAAAGGGACAATGTGAGGGAAATATGAGATCTCTATCCCATAGTTCTCACTCAACTATTGTGTTCCACCAAGAAAGTTTGCTTTCTCTCCCAAAACTATTGTGTTCCCTAAGAAACTTGCGTTCGCTCGCAAAACTATTGCATTCAACCAGAAAACTTTGCTCGTAAAACTTCCCATATTCTGATGGATATAAATGGCACGTATGATGAATCGTATGAAGAAAACCTTCATCCGACCTCATCATCCTCTGTAGTCCATCAGAAGGACACAACAGAGCTGCATTATGGGAAGAGCGCTCTGTTCTCTCTGTGATTAACTGCACATGGAGCTTGTCTGTAAACAGACTCTGTAAGCAATAGATACAGCGCATTTCTCTTTGCCACTAAACATAACAGAGAGAGTTTATATTCAAAGAAACCCGTCTGGCCTCTGGTAGAAAGAGACAGAATTAAACCGATGGATTTTAAACCTGCGACTGCAGAATGAAAATGGAAAGGATTCGTTGCACCTCTGACTTTCTTTAAGGTTGTGCTATTTTTAGGATGAGTTTTCCTTTGAGAAAGAAACCAGCGGCATGTGTGGGTGTTTGTGCGTGTGAGAGAGAGAGTGTGTGTGTGTAATAAGGCGACTTGAAACCTTTTCTCTTGTTAATTCATTTTAAGGTTTTCCCTGGATAATTGATTTGGTTAATTGCAGTTTTTTTCCTTTGATGCTGCTGTTATTGTGACAGTAATCCACTGTAAATTCTCTGTATGTATGTAAACAGCATAGACCTGTTTGTGTGAGCGGCCCAAAATGTCAACTTCTGACTCAACCAATCAGATGAGTTTGGGGTGGGACAATCTGTCTGAACGACCAATGACAGATGAGGGGCTGAAGAGACAGTACAAGTCTTTGGAAACACACACTTCAGATGTAAAATCAACCAAGACTCTTTCCACTATCCAGTCAAACTCAACATGACAACAGTCATGTTTGCAGGCATGTTCACATATTGTTCTTTATTTTGCTGCAGTACGTTTTTCTGACTGTTAGTTAAGCAGCGTTCCATAAAGCTGAGCTTTAGTCAGACTGTCTTTGCGACTGAGTCCAGCGTTTCCAAACTTTTGATGCTGTTGCATCATCTTCTGAGCTCCGGGGTTTTTAAGATCTTTGTATTTCTGGACGTCCAGATCGTGGTTCAGTGACTCCGCTGAACTGCCGGGGCTTTCATCAGCGTGATCTCTCTGTAAAGCGTCTTTAGTCACGTTCTCCTTGTCTTTGGCGTTTCCAGTCATGAAAAAGCTGCTTGTCGAACCCTTTGAGCCAAACATCAGTCCTCTCTCGGCCTTCAACGCATTCAGACTCGTCTTCGGGTTCAGCACAGGACTCGATCCCGTTGACGCAAGGAATCGTGGATCCGGCACACGCCTGCGGAAGATGTTGTCTTCCTCCTGGAAGCTGCTGTAAAGAGGACCTGGTTTGATCTTGGCTGGACCGGCCGTAAAGTGGTGCTCTGGGAAACCGAAGGGCGAGAATCTGCTGATGTCCTCGATGCTCATCTGCCGGCAGCCATCCGTCGGGTCCGCAGGGACGAGGACGCGTCTGTCTCCGGATCGGCCGTTCTGTGAGCCCACATGCTGGGAGCTGCTTGACTTGGGAAAACCTGGACGTTCCTTTCCATACGAGGACAAGTTCTTGCGCT